CAAACTCAGGAGTTTGCACTTGCTAGGCAAGCACTGTACCGCTGAGCTATATCCCCAGCTAAGCCTGCATTCATGGACTGTCTAGCTCAAAGGCTAGTTGTTCAGTTCTGTCCCAGCTCTACCTTGGGGTTACCTAAGTGGTGGGAGATACAGCCAAATACAATCTGCAAAAGTCCCTGTCAATAAATCTTCCAGGGGCCGGGGAGATGGCTCAGTGGAATAAGCGCTTCCCTGGCAAGCACAAGGACCTGAGTTCAATCCCCGGTTCTGAAAAAAAAAAAAAAAATCTTCCAACATATGCTCGTTCCCACCCAGGCCTGCCTGAGATCCCGGCATTCAGAAAGGCTGAGGCAGGAAGGTTATGAGTGGGAGGTACCTAGGCAACTTAGTGAGACCCTGTCTCAAAATAAATGCTAGGAAGGGGCTGGTGGAGTTCACTTGGCTCACCTGGGAGGCACCCCTTAAAGAGCAGAGGGATCAGAGGCCACCCTGGGAAGGAGGAGGAAGCACTAAATTAAAGCAGCAGGGAGGTGCGGACATTTCAGTCTAGGACGTGGGGAAGGCAGGCGCAGAGAGGGGACCTGATCTCTGAGGTCACCTGGGAGGCAGCTGTGGGGCTGAGCTGGAACCGACAGTCGGGTGCTGGTGCTCACATTCCAGGGGGTACAGGGCATCGCCGGCTATGGGGACCGGGGACAGAAACGCTGGGGAGATGCTGGGGCTCATCATGGCCAGAACTCTGCTGGAGGTGGCAGCCTGAAACCAAGTCGGGCTGCGGGTGTGTCCCCGCCCAGCAGCCAGCAGCTGCATTCCAACTGCCGCAGGGGAGCGGGGAACAGCAGACTGGACTCTTGTTCCTGGGCTGTCCCAGCAGAGCCCCAGCCTGTCTGATTCGCCACTTCCTCTTCTCCCCCTTGAGGGTTTTTAAAAGCAAATTCCAGACATTGTGTCATCTCATGTGTAAATATCCAGTGTGCGTCTTTCTGTAAAAGACAAGGGCTCTTTGTTGGCAGTCTCCTGCCCTTCCACAGCGTTCTTAACGTGCTCAAAGACCTGGTGTTCAAATTCTTTTTCTTCTCTTTCTTTCAACAGCTGATTTATTGAAATCCAGACCCAGTTAAGTTTCTCTTAAACCAATTGCTTGGTTCATCTTGAGTCAGTCTTTCTTTCTTTTTTTGGTGGAACAGGGGCTAGAACTCAGGTCCTTGTGCTTGCCAGGGAAGCATTTATTCTACTGAGCTATCTCCCTGGCCCCAGTCTTAGGTTTTTC